CTAACAGGTTACATGCCTGATGGGGAACCCATCTGGGAGGAACATGCCTGAGAGGGTGACTCTGCCCTCTGAGGAACGAGCAGTGGACTGGTAGTTGGGAACTGAACTTGAACCCCTCTAAGGAGCACTCTGCAGTTCGCAGATCCCAACCCCTCCACACCTTACAGAGACTCTTGTGGAGTGAGCAGCACAAGCCCCATCCTCTAGATACATACACTGAGACCCGGGAGGGAAGTGACTTGTCCAAGATTGCATAGCTAGTGAGCAGGAGAGCTGGGACGAGTCCCCAGCTCTATCTGTCTCCAGTTCTTCTGCCCTTCCCCAGTGTCATTTCCATCTTGGTGTTCAGTTTTCCTCTCTGTACACTGACAAGAGGGACCCTCAGGGCTCTGACCTAATCATAAGGCTGGAGCTTCAAAAAGCCTGAGTTTGACTTTTAAAAATAAGGGGCAAAAGGCACCCCAACTCAGGGTGCTAGGCACTATCCCATTTCACAGCTCAGGAAACTGAGGCTCAGGACAGCCAAGTCCCCTCCAAGGTCACATAGCCTGTCTGTGGCAGAGCTGGGACTTAACGACAGTCTTTTCTGTTCCTTTGGGGACATTGGCTACCACATGGCCACTATCCATTTTAGACTCTCCCTTTTCTCCTTTCCTAATGCAAACTGCTCAGAACAGTCAGATCCATTCGTTGTGCTCTTACTGTATACCAGGCACTGCGTAAGCACCTCATGTATAGTATCTCATGGAAGTCTGATCACAGTTCCATTCCGTCCACATTACAGGGAAGAAGACAGAAGCGACAGAAGCTTGCATAAATCAAGTTACTTGCACACAGTCACAGGCTGATAGATAGCAAAGCCAGGTTTCAAGGGAAGGCTTTTTTTGCAGAAAAACTTCAAGCACCAGATTAAGGAGTGGACAAGACCACCTTTCAGGTCCCTCTAATCATGTGACTTCATAGGAAGCTGCTTTGGAGGATAGTATCCAGGCAACCTTACACAGCCTTGGAGCAGAGGGGTTGGATGCTCACCAGAGCCTCTGTGAGGGAGTAGGCTCAGCTTCTGTGTCTCCAAGGCCAGGCCAGGTGTCAAAGAGCATGTGGTCCCCAAGACATTCAACCACACCGGGAAATACTTCTATACATGGGGCAACACATTCTGAAAGACTCAGAGAAAGGGGGACACAGAGAAAAGGGGAGCAAAGGAGGGTGATGCTGGACTGGGTTGTGAAGGACAGTTGGGAATTTCCTGTTCTGGGAAGGCATTCCAGTCAAAGGGACCAGCAAAAGCCAAGGCCCAGAGGAGTGAAAGAAGCTTGAGTGTGCAACGACTCTCCAGCAGTCCGGGAGGAGAGGAAGCCTGGGGCAGGGAGAAATAAAACAGGCATTCCAGGGCTACTGTTAACTCCCTGGGTGACAGGGGCCACTGACGCCACCTCTCTGGGCTTCAGCTTGCCCGTCTAATAATGAGTAGACATGAGACCTGACGTGATCCTAGGAGGGACCCCAGAGGGGCTGTTAACGAGGCACATCTGGATGCCAACTTGAAGGCTGAGTTTGCCCAGAAAGGTTTTCCTACCCAGACCCTTCCTCCCTGGAATGAGGCGAGATTCAGACCCCCATTTCCAAAGATGTGGACCTGACAGACAACCTGAACTGGTTGGACCAGCTTGGCCTCTCCAGGCTCATTTACAGCAGGCTTCTCCAGGGGTTTTAAACCATGTTCCACTTTGCAGTTTTTTAATCTCTCCAGAAACCCCAGCCTCCACAAAGAAAGCTTGTTTTCAGGTGGCTTATTTATTTTTAACATGAAAAATGTCTTATTCCTCATCCCATGAGCACTCTCTCCTCTAAGACAAAACAAAGACATGTCCTGTCAGTAGGACAGGGGACCTGCAACAGGCCCTCAGGGTGACTGGAGCACTGGTTTGGGAAAACTAGTTAAATGCAAATGTCTAGCAATTTCCCTGCTCCACCAGGCCTTCCTGAGGCCAGACAGGGGCTTTGATTCCCTTCTGTGACCCCAACTCCCCCTCCTTCCCCACCCTTCTCATCTCCCAGGGTTTTGTTTCCCAGGAGGAGTGAGCATTGTGGCAAAGCAAAAAGAGGAAGCCAGGAGCCCCAGGGCCTGGCATGCGGGGAAACGACTTGCTCAGTGGATTTCAGCTCTGGATAATCTCTCAATATTTGTAAGCAGACTGATGATTCTCTGCCTGTAAAGAGGCTTGGATCTTGGTGGATACACAGTCTCTGGAGTAAAGCTGAGACCTGGGTTCAAATCTGACCTATGATATACTTGGGCTTGAACTTGAACATGAAATGGACATCCCTTTCCCCATCTGTAAAATGGGGATAATAATCCTAGTCTTCATGAATGTCCTGAGGGGAAGCCCTATATAAACTGAAAAACACCCAGCAAGTGTTTTAGGTTTTCAATAATGTTCCTGTCCCCCTTAACCAACTTTGCCTCAAATCCTCAGCTCCTGTCTCCCCTCCCTCCCTCCATCATCCAGCAATAAATCACAAGATTCAAGGGCAGCGTCCTTCCTTTGGTGCCAGAAGTCTCGTATCACATCATCTTGTCTCTGGACCCCCAGCTGCCAGCAGAAGGCCCCACACACAGGGCAGCCTGTCCCTTGGGTGAAGCAAGTGTTTCAGGAAGATCCTTCCATCCTTTACATCACTTTCTGGGTGTAATCGGCCCCACTTGCTGGTTATCAGCCCTTTCAGGAAACTCCCTGCCCACAGAAGCCCATTTGCTGTGTGCTCCCCAGTCCCTTACCACCTCACAGGATCTTTCTTCCCTGGTAGATCTGCCTGCTCAGATATTTCAGGCTCCCAAATAATTCCCAGGATTGAGCCTAAGATGTTGAGGTGCATCAGGGTTGGCTGCTGGCCTAGAGATAATCCCAACCCACAAGGCTGGCCTCTGGCCATGAGGGGCAGGGAAGGAGCAGATGGCCAGGGATTTGCTCTCTGTGATTAGAAAAGTGCAGAGGACTCTAATTTTCAAAAGAAAGAGGCTGGGAAAAGGTGAGTAGGTGAAAGGCAGCATAGCCTGTGGAATGGTCCAGGCAGCTGAGCCAGGGAATACAGAATAGGCCATTTTGTCTCTTCTGTAAAATGGGCATAACTCATGGATGGGCAGAGTATGTCTCAGGATATACTAGTTCTCTCCTCTCACAGGACTTCCCATGAGATATGATCCCAGACTGCCAGTCAAGCCCCTCTCTGACTCAGCTCACAGCCTGGCTGGGTAGGCATGGTCAGTATCTATCCCCTGCCAAGTGGCAGACTGTGTGACCCTGGGAAATAATTTAGCCTCGCGGGGGCCCCAGAGGTTTGACCAGTTCTGTTCTGAAGATGGAATGTGGAACAGACAACACTGAGATGGAATATAAGAGTCTCTCAACCTCAATAAACAGGAACCCTCTCTACCTCCTCCCACCCCTCCCAGCACCCAGGATTTTGTTTCTCAGGGCAGGGTGGGGAAGGGTGGGGAAGGGTGGGGCTGAGGCAGAGTGAACAGAGGAAGCTAGAAGCTCCAGAATTATGGGAAATGAGAGTAAGTTTGGCTTGGGCTGGCCCATGGGGAGATGAGCAAGGCCCCTCCACGAGGTCCCGTCAGGTGGATGGTATTCCAAGTATCCTGGCTGGTTAAGGCTAATCAATAATGCTCAGCTTTTGGTTGGATGCATTTTTCTGGCCCCAGGTCCAATGGCACTAGAGGCAGAGTGACAAGTAACAGAGAGGGATGGGAACCAGTGAGCAGTGTGACTGCAGCTGCCAGGGGAACCCGGGCAGGATGGAAGTCCAGCCTGGAGGATCTAGCTGTGTATCGGGACTAGAAGGCCATAGACCAGAACCCTCTTCTGTTCCAGCTACCCTGGACAGACCCTCTGGCACAGAAGAGGCGCTCTGCATCACTGGTAGACACCTGACAACAAGGCCAGTGGCATGTGTGACAGCCCTACACACCTCACCAACAGCAGATGCTGCTGGAATTAGCCAACCTCCGTCCAGGCTCCACCACTGACTGCCACTCAATTTCCTCATTTGTAAAAAAGCCATAAATGATCCTCTTCTAACTCCTAGGGCTACCATACAAATCTACTGGGATGATCTGTGTAATGCGGGAAGAGAGGATTAGCTAATAAGCATTTCCCTAGGTCATCTCATTTACTCTTAAAACAATAATCCTGAAAGGCAGGTACTATTATTGCCCCATTTTATAACCAAGTGTGCTTCAGTTCAGAAAGGCCACCTGCCCAAGGTCACAGAGCTGGTAAGTGGCAGGGCCAGAAAGGAACCTAGGTCTTGTGACTCCAGACCTGGCGTTTTCACCTATCTCTACATGGTTTCCACACTGCACTCATAGCTTTGGCAATAGCCCTTCACAAAAGTCAGGGACTATTGTCATTATTATTTCTTATAAAACCCAAGGCTATGAGAGGTTTTCCTTTGCACTCCGCCTCTCTTTTTCTTGATGTTGAGGAAAGCACGCTACACAGTCTGCTAATTTCTGCAGTCTCAGACAATCAGAATTCCAACTGTCTGGGACAGCCAACCTAAGAAAGCAAGAAATTAATCTTTTCAAAGTTAACGTCTTTGAGGCGTCGCAGTAGTATTTGGGTTGGACGTAACCTTGCTCTCGTAACACAGATGAAACTCCAAATTTAATAAGGCTAAGACAACTCGGACAGCTTAAAAAACATAACAGGATATTGAAAAGAGATTAGGGGGCTTCCTCTGGATGGCGTGGACAGCCAGGGAGAGGGCAGGGTGGGGGATGAATGGTGTGGTCGACCCTGGGGGCCATCAAGGTGGGTCCTGCTCCCAGGCCTGGCCTGAAGACTAAGAGGCCTGGGCAGAGGGGAGCGGGGCTCCTCCAGACACCTCAAGGCCCGCCTGGTGCGGGAGCAGAGCTTCACACTTAGGTTAAATGTAAACCAGCTGCAAGGAGGGGAGTGTTACAGTTGGATGGGGTGGGGAAGGCTTACCTCATGAAAGAACTGTGGAAACGGCTGCTGGAAAGATAATAAAAGGATTAACTGCTATTTTAGTGGGCCATTTACTCTTCAATCAAAGTGTCTCATCTATTTCCTGTTCTCCAGAGGCTCTGGGTCCAAAATTCCTTTGTCTATTACAGCACATGGTAGCAGAGGCCTGTCATGAGAAATTAATAATTTTACAGGGAAGGGTGATTTTATTTATCTGGGTGCAGGCTGGAGACCTCCCTTCCCACGGGTTGCCTGCTGCGCCAGCATCTCAGGAAGGCGGAGCAGTCCTGCAGTGGGCAGGGAGGAGCTCAGAGGAGACCTCTGCTACCATCTCCAGATGGCGGGACCTAGTGGGGCTGGCCCTACGACTCCAAAGAATAATCAGGTGGACAGAAGAAAATCTACATGAAAAAGAGCTTCAGTTTAGAAAGATGTGGGTTCAGATTCCACTCCAATGGTTGCTAACTGTATAACCTCGGTCAGGTTATATTTATTTATTGTTGTTACTATCATTACTAGCATGATTGCTAGCCTCTATTATTGTTGTTATTGTCTACCTCTAGCTGTGTGGCCTGGGTAAAATTATTCAATCTCTCTGAGCCTCAGTTTCCTCATCTGTACAATGGGGGTTCTGATCGTATCTACCCCATAAGATAGTTGTGAGGACCACACAGAGTTATTGTTTAGGACAGTCCCTGCATGTGGTCAGCACTCAGCAGCTGCTTACCGGTATTCTCACCATTTCCCTCACCTCCCAAAGAGGCAAGATGAAGTATTCTTATAGTAGGAAGTGGAATGCCAGCTGGAACTCACTGAACTGTTGTTTCTTCTTCTATAAAAACTGTTCGTTTTACAGGATTCTTGTGAAGATTAAAAGGGTGAGTACAGACACAGCTTTAACATCACCTCCTCCTTGAAGCCCTTCTGGGCCTCTCCTCCTTGAGTCTATGTAGACTCCATCCCAGAACTCTTCACATATCTCCCACCCATCCCTGACTGTGCGTGCCCCCAGGGCAAGGACTTTGGCAGGTCTGAATCTGGGTCCCCAGAGTCAGGCATGAGCCAGTTGTAAGCTGGTATGTTCTGTGGAATCTGCTGAATCAAATGAGAGCCTAGCAGGCTGGCCCAGGAGAAAGAACTTGAGAGAAAAATCCTAAGACTACACTGAGTAATCTGGGTTTCTGTGACCCACTTGCTGGTCCTCTATTTACCAAACTGGAAAATGGGCAGTGAGAGCCTCAGTCATCTCCAAAGGCCTCATGTACAACACGGACGCTCCTGGATACTGTGATCCCACACAGGAAGCCCTAGTGTGAGAAGGACACAGACCACACAACACCAGGGATCAGGCTATGTAGCCACCATGTAGGCCCCCACAGACACCACTGAGATCACCCACAGGAAAGAAGACAAAGAGAACTGTAGTTCAGCAGCTGGCAGCTCCAAGGTCTCAGAGAGAGACAGGGGCCCTCTGTCCTCCAGCAGCCCTGGCCTGCAATATCTATTGGTCATCTTCTCCCAAGCAAGGGCATGCCTTTCAGCAAGCCATGTGTCATGACACCCTAAGTGAACTGGGGCATCCCCAGAAAGTGGCCCAGCCACCAGCTCTCCCTGTAGCACACTCCTGGGCCAAAGGCATGTGATAAACACAAATTCTCAGCCTGCTCACTCCAGCCTCTCCCCACAACACCAGCACACCAACCACAGATTGTTCACTGTGCCTCACTTGTCTATAAAGTGAGCTCCTTCTCATCCTCAAGACCCAGCCTTCTTGAAGCTAAAAAGGTTAGATGAGTAGATGCCCAGTTCAGAGCAACAAAAGCAGATGGAGGCAAAAGGGTGACTACCTGGTCCCAGCAGGATAGAGTTTATGCTGCCAGTTGCCGATGCGTTCGGCCTCTTCCCTGGTTCCTACAAATGCTGCCCTGGGCTTTGAGCAGGGACAAATGTATGCCCCTGTTCCCACTATACTCCTCCCTAGACTGAGCGTTCCATGAGTCAGGGCCCAGTGACAGTGACAGCACACAAGTGTGGAGGAACTCAACCTTGACTATAGACCAGACACTCGCCTGTAGACCAGATGTACTGCTTTCTTCCTCTGCCTCATCAATGTCCCAATGGGTGGGCTCTGGTGGCTCCACCAGCCCTTCTACTGCAGGCAGGCACCTCTCCTAGTGGGCTGGCTGGGCTTTGGTGGTAGGCACGGTGACTCAGATGAAGATATCAGGGACTAAGTCTACCTTCCTCTGATACGGATTTCCACCACAGTGACAGCAAACACAGAAATAGCCAGTCAGAATGGCCAGAGGCTCAGATGCCTAGAACACTGTAGGTTCTATCCAGGGCCTTATCTGTTAACCCTTAGTCATACCCCAAAGCCTGCCCTGGGGATCCACAGCTCTCAAGCTGGATGCCTGTGAGGACCCAGTGCCCCTTACAGGAAGCCAGCCAAGCCTATGGGCTTCTCCACGAGGCCCAGGGAGCCTCCCTGGGAAGGTGAAGACCCAGCAGGACTGCCTGTTCTCCACAACTCATTGGGCCATCAGCAAGAGGAACACCGAGCATGTGCGTGTAAGAGAGAAGGCTGGCCTGCTTTGACCTCAGAGCACCAGTGTTACCTCCTGACCATGTGTGTGCAACACCAGGCCATGCCTTGGGGTGAGAGCTGGGGCACATGGCAAGTATGAGGGGACCTCTCCCAGTGGCGAGGGCACTGACCATCCTGACCCGTGGCCACATCCATAGCATTCTTACTTCTTTCCTCAACCACAGGGCATCTCAGCCAGCCCCCAGGTAAGGAGGCCCAGGTATGCCAGTGACGTGGGTACTGCTCTGCCAGGGTCCGTCTGGACATGGCCTGGTGGCTGTGGGAACTCACCATGCACTTGTTGGGCTTCTCGCCCGAGTGCACCCTCATGTGGATGAGCAGCTTGTAGCGGGCGTTGAAGGGCTTGTAGCGGCGCACGCAGCCTGCCCAGAAGCAGGTGAAGTCCTCACCCTTGCGCTGGTCTATGTGGCTCTTCTCGATGTGCCGCACCAGCTCCTCCTGCTGCTCGTAGGCTGCACAGCAGTCCACCCAACGGCAAGCCTGCCGCCCAGCCACCCTCCCTGACAGGCCCAGCCCCAGGCCTCCAAGGCCAGGGCCTGATGGCAACTGAGGCAAAGGGTAAGGAGGCGGCAGGCACGGATGGTGAGGCCCGAAGAGCTCTGAGAACTCGTCCGCAGGCTCCTGCTTCAGGAAGCCTGCCTTCCGGCAGGATTCAAGTTGCAAACTGCCCTCGTGACTCTCAGTGGTTGCAGGGCCGGGCTGTGCCCGCTTTGGGGGAGCCCCCAGATCTCCCGGTAGAGGGGGGCTCCGGAGTCCATTTATGCAGGTGACCAGAGCAGTCTGTGAGGAGCGGATGATGGAGGTGATGTCAGAGGAGGCACGGGGTGAGGAGGAGGCTGAGGAGGTCGGGGGCAGGCCCAGGAGGCAGCAGTGCTTCAGGCTGCCCTCGGGCAGGTGGGCCTCAGGTTGGGGGCCCAGGCCGGAGCTGGGTTCACTGCCTAGAAGGTAGCAGGAAGGTGCTGGGTTGGCAAGGCCTCGGCCCGGGAGGTCCAGGTCTGTGCGCGGGCCAGTGGCCGGTGGAGCCCGGCAGTGGGCAGACAGGGGTGCCCGAGCTTCCATCATGGCCCGATAGACAGGCAGGGACTCCTGCTTGATGTGCTGTGTGGCCGGGAGGCTGCCATTCATATACGTGGCTTGGGGTCTGGGTGACCTGGAAGACAGTGGCCAGAGAGGCCATGAGAGGGTAGGCACTCCACAGGGGGTGAGCCCAGGCAGGGGACGGCGAGGAACCTGAAGGCTGTGGGCTGGGGAAGCCCAGAGCAGGGAAGAGGGGGATGAAGGATGAAGAGGGGACACGGGGGGGGGGGAAGAAAGAGAGGAGGGAAGGAAAGGGAAGAGGGCAGATATTGTTGTCTGGTAAACAAGGAAGAGTGTGGGGAGAAGGAGGAGGGAGAGAAAGAGGAGTGGGCTGGGGAGAGGTTCAAAGAGGCAGAGATCTGAAGAGGGGGATGCCAGAAAAGGCACCATTTCGTCCCCTTACCAAATCTAGCCCACCCCCAGCCCTGGATGCCATCCCGCCCTGCCTCCAAGGCCTCCCTAGGGTCTGCCCTGACCCCCTCCCTCTGACCTTCTAGTGATTTCTGGAGGGAGAAGGCTGAGGCTGACATTTGGAGGGACACCTAGGTCCAGTTTTTTAAAATTATGCTTACATGTCCCTTAAGTCTTCATTAACTTTTGTAATCATTGATAATTTCTAGGAACATTAAATGTGTGACATTTTGCCCCAAGCAATCTGTCTTTTACACTGTGAGCACCAGTGGGGGAGGGGGGGTTTGAAACACGCTCCTGGTGAGGGCACAGCCTAAGAACAGCTGAGGAAAAGCTTCTTGGGTGGGGATATCCCAGAATTTCAAGCCCCGACATGGTGACTGCACAAAACAAAACTTTGGGGAGAAGCCATGGGCAGGCAGGCCAGGCAGAACAGCACAGAGGAGGCAGAGGACTTGGGTGCAAGGCCAGGCTCAGCCACTTCCTGTGTTCAGCTGTGCACACCTGAACAAGGTGCTCTGGGCCTTTCTCCTCATCCCAACATCAGAACAGGTTCTGCTTCTGTGAGTAGGGACAGTGTGATGGGCAGGGCTGGGCTGGCTGAGGTGGTGACTTCATCATGCACATGGCACATGCATTTCTAGAGGGGTATCTCCTTAATTTGGGCAAGTAAGCGCAGGTAGAGACACCAGGGCCTGTTGGGCACCAGAGGACTCTGAGAAGGAGAGAGACCAGCAAGCTAACACTGGACCTCGGGTCAGAGAAGCCCCCACTGGCTGGCTAGGCAGAACAGGAAGCCTGCTTACACGCCTACACTCTGACTAGGACACTCGGTGTGTCTTCAGACCTCACCCTGTCTGAGCCTGGGTTACCTTGCCTGTGAAATGAGGACCAACCCCCTCGACCTTAGAGGTTGGCTGCCAGGATCAAGTGAGAGGACAGATGCTGTGACAGCCATCTGGAAAGAGGATGGCAGAGTGAATGGTGCCATCATTTCTGCTGTTATTACTGCCATTATTACTGCTGCTGTTCTCAGGCTCTCAGAAGCCAAGCTGTGGGGCTGTAGGGTCATCCCACCCCTCTGTTTCCCAGCGTCATTTCCTGTAGTCCAGCCCATCCCTCTCTGGCTCTGCAGCTGTGGCATCAGCAGCTTCAGTCACAGGTAGAGGGAAGCAGAAGGGACAAAGAAGGAAGCTCAGAGTCCAGAGCCCAGAGCTCTCAGAGAGCATCTCCTCCAACCCCATCACTACAGGGCTGGGAAAGGGGACAAGAGGGCACATGTCTCACTCACAGGCACAAGCAACGAGCAGAGACAGGGCTGAGGCCGGAACCCAGGCTCCCCTTCTCCTGCCTGTGTGCCTTTCTCCTGCGTAGAACTGACCTGAAGCACTCTCTGGGTAAAGGCTCGGGGGAGGGACTCTTCTGTTTATTTCTCAGCAGCACTTGAACAATTCTCAGGCCAGCTCACCAGGGACCTCTCTTCCCACCCAGGGACTCTACTGCCCAGAGAACGGTTAGTGGAATCAAAAAGAGCTTGCATTTTGAGATAGACAGCAAACACATAACCTCGTCTCCAGGGTTGGGGATACTGGATCCACCATGGCCAGCAGAAAGCTCCAAGTAGCTTAAAGATCTGATGTTCACGTTGTGACCGTGGAGCTTAAAAAAAAATAAATAAAAGCACAGCTAGCTGCTCCTCACATGGTCGCAATCCTGGGTCTGGCAGAGGTAGGCATGGGTAGGGAAGGGCAGCCAGGCAACACTTTGTCTCAAGCAATCCCTTTAAAAAAGCAGTGCCAGATTAAAGAAACCCTCACTAGGAGAGGAGAACAGCTGTAGCTTTCTGTGACCGAGTCACCCAAATAATAATAGAATAATCCACAGCAAAATCTCTAATGATAACAAGGTGGGGAATGGGTAGCTCTGGTCCTGGTGTCCCATAGCTCCAAATGCCACTGAGGCAGCCCCCACTTGCCCTCGCTGTCCCTGGGCGACCAGGCAGCAGAGTTCAGGCCCTCCTCTGCCACTGAGCCATGTGCACCCAAGGCAACTCCCATCACACCTCTACAAATCGTGAGCATGAGTCCCTAGGCAGAGCAAACAACTACGGAGCAATCCCATGAGCCAGGTGCTTTCCCGAGGGCCGTCTCACACAATCTGAACACAGCAGAATGATGCATGGTATCTGCTGAGTGCATGACCAAATTCTTCAAGGGAGAGACCACCATCTGTTTTACACTTAGGAAAACTGAAGCAACTTGCCCAAGCTGTCAAAGGCAGTCAGTGATAGAGCAAGAACTTGAACCTGGATCTGTTTAAATAAGAGCCTGGGATTTTCCCACAACACTCTACTGCCCAGGGCCCCCGCTTCCTAATCTGTAAAATGATCTAATTTAATAACCATTATGTGTCTCGGCAGCCTCAATGTTCTGAGCCTCAAGGATTCAATGTGCTCTATCATCCTGGACCCTGAAAAGGAGCTGTCAAAATTGGGAAAATCAATGTTTCCCCAGCAGAGACTCAAGGGCAGAAGAGAGTGATGTCAGACCTCATGGGGTCAACACACCTGATGGTTCAAGGGCTGCAGTCTGGGCTGAGGGTTAACAAGCTCACTTCACAGACTTTTCACACTGTGCTGGGTGATGCTGGAGACTCAGGACAGTTTGAAGCCCAGGCAGGTACCTGCCCTTGAGAATCTCCCCTTTTAATGGGGAAGCAGAGGACCAGCCCCCTGAGGGAATGCTCAACTCTGCTAAGGGGTGGGCAGGGTTGTGGCACACAGAAGAGAGCACAGGGCTCTGGAGGCCAAGATGTGAAGGTAAAAAACTATATGGAGATTCAGAGCAAGGCCAGGAGGCTAGTGCTGGGCAGGCAGGGTGCCAATCACAGGCACCCTCCAACACTACTGGGGGCCTATATGCTCTGTTTCCATCCTCATCTTACAGGTAAGGAAATGAGGCTCGGAGAGGGTCATGATCTCACCCAAGGTTGAGCCAGAGAGCCAGTCACTGAGCTAGGACTTGAGCTGCAGTTAACAATACATTCTGCTGAGCATGGTGGCGGTGGGCAGTCATTTTAAGCACATAAATGACAAATTCAGGACATTGCTAAAGTTTCTTAAAACTCCTCACCACTCACTGGGTGACCTCCAGCTAGTCTTATGGTCCCTCTGGCCTCAGTTTCCCCACCCTATGGCAGTTGTGAGTTGAATGAGTTAACACATATAAAGTGCTTGGCCCGGGGCGTGGCAAATAGTAAGCATTCCAGGATGGTCGCTTATTTAGCAGTAGGACCTGGGCCTCCTGGGACTGTGTGGGTTAAGTGAGAGAATGTGCACAGGCAGCATTCACTCAGAAAGTGGGAGCTATTTTATTAGTATTAGAAAGCTGGTCTGGAGAAAAGAAGGTGGCTGGTGCGGCTGCCACAGGAACCCAGGCAGTGGATCAAGGTGCCAGAGATCAGGAGGGGTCAGCAAGAACAGAGAGGAGGGTCCCCAAACATAGGCAATCCAGTGGGAGGGAGAAGGGGCAGGATCTGCCTGGTGTGGGATAGGGGCTGGGCTCTCTTTTTCTTTAGGAAAATGAGGAAGTCTAAAAGTGCCAGGTCAGATTCAACCACCTCAGTGGCAGCGGTGGCAGCAACTTAGACTGATGCTGGTAAAGGGTTCTGCGTACAGACTCTCCGGTGCCCTAAACTGTCAAAATGACATTCAAAATGACAAGTGATACTTCTGATGGTCTCTATCAAAAAGCAAAACACTTGCTTAGCTTTCCCTAGGTTTGCATAGCTTCTACCCTGACAGAAAGAATTTCATTGGACCAAATGGATACTCCTGGGAGCCTCAGTGAGTAATCAAGGAGATACATGCATTTGACTGTTGCTAAACAATGCACAGCTTGAAACCAAAAGGATGACTGGACAGTACTGAACTGATATCCCCCTAAAATTTGTATGTTGAAGCCTGAATCCTCAATGTGACTGTATTTGGAGGCAGAGGCTTTAGGGAGGTGATTAAGGTTAAATAAGGTCAGAGGGTGGGGCCTTAATCTGAAAGGACTGGTGTCCTTGTAAGAGGAAGAGACACCAAGGGTGTGCACACAGAGAAAAGGCCACTTGAGGACACAGTGAGAAGGCAGCCGTCTGTGAGCCAAGAGAGACCTCAGAAGAAATCAAACCTTCTAACATCTTGATCTTGGACTTCCAGCTCAGAGAACTGGGAGAAAATAAACGTCTATTGTTGAAGCCACTCAGTCTGTGGTGTTTTGTCATGGCAGCCAAGCAGACTAATACACTCCAAAAATCAGAGGTCTCATTAACATCAAGGCCAGAGGGAACCTCAATTCTCAAAGAAAAATGTTCCACATGAAGAAAAAGCTATTTAGTAATATCTCCCACTGTGGAGCTCCCATTGCTCCATCAGGGATCTCTCTGCCTCCTTCACCAAGGCACTCCCAGCACCCTACAGTGCCTGGCTCACAGAAGGTGATAAATGGTTGGTAAAGGGGTAAATTGTAACAGGCAGCTGGGCCAGTTTTAGCACCTCTGATCTGTGAACAGGCCTCAGGTCAGCAGCCCCAAGCAGTGGGGTGAGGAGCCCTAGGGGATAAGGGGGTAGGTACAGAGGCCTGTCTGTGGTTGACCTACGCCTGTCAGCAAACCGGAGGACACAAAGGCATGGGGAGAAGCCACAGGAGGCAGATTTCAGCCCAGCGTGCAATCTAATGAAACATTTTGCAGAGGTGGACATCACTGGAAATGTGCAAGCACTGAATGTGATGGTTACTTGGCAGGGTTTAGTGGGGCGATGGCTTCACGGGGCAGGAGACGGCCCCAGGTGGAGGAACCCCTCTCTGCTCTATGAGTGGTCCAGGGTGTGACAGTGTGAACCTTCAGCTGAGTTTTCCTTCCCCAACGCACTCCAAATCTCCCTCTTCGTCTGTGAAAACCCATCTCAGTTGCTGCTGCTGCGGCAGGGAAATGTGCCTCAAAAACACCACCTTTGTCTCTCATGAGGCCCTGTAATGCAGGAGGTGTGAGGCCTACACCAGGCAGCCGTCATTGTGCTACTGGGCTCTGGCTGGTCTCTGGCAATTCTGTGCCTCAGTTTCCCTGTGTATCCCACAAGCCAGGTAAACTAGGTGAGGTCTGGCGCCCTTGACCCTTGGTTTCTAGGGAGTGTCCACAGGGGGCAGCTGATGGTGTGAATGGAGCACATACCTGCTGGGGTGGGGAAAATGGAGCAGCCTGTCACAGGCTGGGGGGTGGCCCCGGGGTGGTGGGGTTCCTGCTGGGAGAAACAGGCCCTGGCGACAGGTGGGGCCAAGGCCCTCGGCAAGGTCCAGGTCCAGCAGGCTCTTCTCCGAGCCTGGGGTGCAGTGGCCGTAGCTCCCGTTCACTAGGCAGAGAAAGACAGGAAGAGGAAACAAAGTAAGTAGGGACAGCCTGCAGGGGGTGCAAGGAGAGGGCAGTCACTGGGTATAGCATGAAACAGAGCACCCCTGAGCCAACACTAACTGAACCCCTGCTACCTGAGGCACAGGATACCTTGTTTAATTCCCATCATCACCTGCAGGATCAATAGTACCAGACACTACTCGGGGGCAGAAAGCACTTGGGGACTAGAAAGACAAGCTCCTGTCTCTGGGAGGCTTAGAATCTACGATCCTCACATTGACCACCTAAGGCTCATTTGACAAGGCACATGGCCATGTGCTGGAGCTGGTGGTCTAGAGCTGGGCTGTCCAGCAGGTTGGGTGACATTATATGTCAAGGAGCAGGTGCTTACCGAACAGCACCTGTTCTTGTTACCATCAAAGCTCAATCTTTGTTGTTTTCCAAATTGCATTATACCATAGAAATACAGTATACAGTTATCCTCCATGGTTCTTTGATAGCCTATCTGTCTGCCTGGCCCAGCTACTGGGTTTCTAGGAAGACTAACTGAGGCAGCAGATTGAGGGCCCTTGAAAAAGTACATCACATGCAATAAAAATGTTAGGCATGGTTGTTCAATTACTTCTACTCCCTGTGCCTCAGTTTTCTCATCTATAGTGTGAAGAAGGTTGATCTGGAAATTCTACTTCTAATTCTGCCCTGTCACCTGGCCAGCTTATGCAAGGAGGAAAGGACACGGATGTGTTTAGGGGCCCTATGAACCTCAGTGTGAGCCTCTACTGCCCCCAAACCAAGCCTGTGAGTGGAACAAGTCCCTCCCTGGGGCTGACCCTCCCCGAGGCTGAACCTCAGCTCCCTGGTGTAAGATGGAGGGAGCCACGCCAGTTCTCCAGAGATGCTGTGAGGTTTTGAGCACTGAGGGGCAGAGCCCTTAGCACGGTGCTGGCACCTAGTAGGAGCACCAGGAGTAGAAATTGTTCTTATTGTCAAATAGCACTTTGAAAAGCACATATTACTCTAGAGAGGTAATAAAATATTATTAATAGGCCTGTGTATTGAGAAAAGAACTGCCACCAGAACATCCCTAATGTAAGGATGAGGAGCGCCACAGAGCTCTGTTCTCTGAGCAGTGTGCACAGCCCCGTGCACAGCCCCGGGCACAGCCGCCACCGTCTCAGTGGAGCCTCCCCACTGGACTCTGAGGGAGGTGTGGGTATTATGATCCCCATTGTACAGAAGAGAATGTAGAGGCTCGGGAAGTTAAATGATTTGATCACACAGCTAGTAAGAGTCTGGGCTGGATCTCTGGCTCAGGCCTGCCAGGTCCAAACCCCACACTGTAATCACTATGTAATAAAAAGTGGCCTCTTAGCCAAAACTCCAACCTCACCCTAATTCTAGCCCACCCCCAAAGCCAGGCACCCTGAGCTAATTCGTCATGTGTCGACAGCTCTGGACAGGCATCAGGCAGGCACCTGCCGAGCACTTTACAGTTTGCAGATGAGAATGCAACGCTCCCAAGGTCCCAGGGCAGGGAAGGGGCTGAGACGAGTTTCCAGGTTCCCAGGCACAGGCAAGCCTACTTGAGAGGGCTCCGGTGAACATTTGCTCAGAAGCTGCCCTCTGTGTCACCTTCCCAGGCAGAGCCTGGGCCCGTGTCCTGCTGTGAGGAACACTCACCCCCTCTGGCTTTGGCTGCAGCTCGGCCAGCCCTTCACAAGCTTATTGTTTAATAACTTGGTTGTTTTTTAATTAAAAAGAAATCCCTGGTAACAAATGTGAATGGCCTGAGCTAATGAGAGCAGGCTGCTGCTCATTTAACTCTGTTTCTGCTTGGCGGTCTTTGCCTTTTCCACATTGTTTCTGCGTGTGATTTTATTATCCCATTGAGGCAAGCTGTGGGACTGGGCCTCAGAAAACTGTGGATAATTTTATGACCATTAATAACATTTGGAGCAGAGAGAGCTTAATCATCACACAGGACTGTTCGGCAGGGTCTTTCTTCCACAGCCTTTGGGTTGGGGAGGCAGTTTTGAGCTTCCCTCAAGGACCCACCAGGTCCACTGGGGACCTTGGAGTCACCCCCCTTCACTTAGGAGGATGTGTGGAACAATGGATGGTGGGTCCCTGGAAAGGTGCTAGGGAGCCCAGCATTTCTCAAGCCCTTACTCATCTGGCACTTCCTAGGCAGCAGGCACGTTCAGTACTTTCCAGTGTCCATCCCTGTGAGACAGGCTCAGTACAGCCATTTTCTAGACTACAAAAGTGGAGGTTTAGAGAGATTAGAGGCCTTTGACTGGGCCCAGGTGTTTAGGTTTGACTTGTGGACCCACCCAGATCTCTCATACTTCAAAGCCCAAGTTCAGTCCTGCTGCCTCGCACCCAGCTGATGAACCACCGCGGGCCCCCAAACAAGCATCTCCACCTGTGACTCCAATGAAGACCATGTTGGGGGGCCTTTGGGGAAGTCCAAGTACCACCACTACAATGACTCCTAAACACTGCCAGGTGGTAGGATCACTCCATCCATAAACGAGCACACAAAGGCTCAGGGGATGGTTCATGCAAAGTCACACAGGCAGTCAGGGGTCAAGTTGAGATGTGGGGAGAGACAGTCGTTATTCTAATAATTCAGGCCTGTTGGCTTCTTCTCTTCTGGATACATTAAGAGGTTTTCCTATAATAAACAAGCAAGCCAGCTCTGAGAGGGAATAAGGAAGGAGCCCCTTTGGGTCACAGTCTGGCACTGCTCACGGCTCCAGGCCCATTCTAACGTTGTCTTGTGTAAACTTTACAGATCATGGATGAAAGCACAGGCCTCCCCACCGTGTGGGGACATATGCACCAGAGCTGGCAAGCAGCTGCCCAAGATCATGTGCCAATTGCTGGCATAGTCAGGGCCCCAACGCAGGTATCCCAGGGCCTATGCCAGACCTCACCCTGGACCACCTGCTTTCTCAAAAGCTGAAAATTAAACCAAAGACTGTAATATGTTTCCCAGTGGTGCTGCCACTACTGGGAAGATGTGGGTACTGTCACTGCTGCCCGCCCTAAGCCCAAGTCAGCCAGGAGACCTCTCACTGCTCTCCTGTCTATTGGCGTCTTGCCTCTCTGTAGCCATGTGCAGCACAGGACCCGCCCCTGCTCACTCTCCATCTCCAGGGAGCAAGGATGGAGTCTTTCTCAAGAGGAGCAGGGGAATGAGAGGGGCAGAACAGCCCTGCTGGCCTGCGGCAGGTGGGGATACCCTGAGAAAAGGCTGCACCCAGTAGCCATGTCTCCCACTCTGCCACAGGGGACCAGACCCTGGAGCTGGCTTTTCCCATGTAAATAAAGATTTGGGAAAGGATTGGAGGGCAACGGGGTCCTGTGTTCATTTTTACAAGTTGGTGAGAAAACATAGCACATCAGGGCTGGGACAGACTGACCATCTATTTCACTAATAGATGAAGAAATTGAGGCTCAGAGAGGGAAAGGACCTCGTGGTCACATAGCAAATCCATAACAGAGAGTGGGCTTGTACCTTTGGGGCTAGGTTAGGGTTTGGCTTAGTTTCCTCTTCAAGTCTCAGTTTTCTTATCTGTAAAATGGTGCTAACGCATACTTCACAAGGTCCTAGTAATAATGAACAAATTATGAACACAATGCATTTGGCACAGTGCCTGGCTCACAGTAAGCACTTGAAAAGTAATGGTGATAATAATGACAATTGACTCTTCCATTTATCCTTGAGCTTGGGATGGGGCCAGGATGCAGGGCCCTGTACACGAAGCATTCTATCCCCAGGAAGGTCAGGTCTAGATGACCGTGAGACCAAACTCAAAAGGACAAGCCCCCAAAGCTCAGGGGTCACCAAATTCAGGACCTGGCAGTCTGAATGAGGTCACAGCCAGCAAATCTGAAGCAAATGTCTCCAGTTATACACCACAGAGCTTTGCAAATTACCGTAATGACTTGGCTATAAAGCGGTACCACATATAAGGTGACTCCCCACAGGAATTTTAATGTAGGCTGAGCCCGGCCAAGTTTGCATGAGGGGGACAATGATGCATTCAGCATCTCAGGCCCAGATGCTGCCTCCTTGCAGTCCCAGGAGCAGCCAGCGGCCAGGTCTAGGACAGCCTACATGGCTGCTCCTCATTCACAGACAAGCAGAGCAGACTTTTAGTGCCCATCAGGCACCAAACTGGTGACAGGGTACTGTAGAGTCTACAAAACATTGTACAGCCATCACCTATAAGCTTCACTACAACACTCAGGACTAGGGTTGAGCAGAATTGTGCGGGGCTGAGCAGACCTGAGTGAGGGGCAGAAGGGCAAACGATTTGCTCAAATCACTCAGCAAATGTAGGGCTCAGACTCACACTGGATCTCCTGACTCAGCCAGCTTGTCAGGAAACTTTTCCTGTAAAGGGCAAGACAGTAAATATTATAGGCTTTGCAGGCCATACAAGCCACTGTCATGACTCTTCACCTCAGACCATAAAAAGCAGCCATAGATAATATATAAACAAATGAGTGGGGCTGTGTTCCAATAAAACTTTATTTAGAAAAACAGCTTACTGGCTCTTGGACCGTAATTTGCCAACCCCTGAGCTAGTGCAACAGTTAGAGACAGGGCTTTGCAGTTAGATTTTCCCGCATCTGTAAAATGGGGAGAATTTTATGGGGTGGAGTTGACAGTGTGAAAACCACTGTCAAATACTGAATGCAGCGCTGGCCCCTGGTGGACATTCAATAAATGGAAGTGCTTGAACCTGTCTCGGGGGCCCCCCACAGCCTGAGCTCATTTCTCCACCTGGGCGTTACCTCATACTCCCACGATGCTTTGCTGCTGTGCTGCACATGTCCTCACCCATCCAGTCAGGGTGGCCTGACACCTTCCAAACCCTCTGAGCCCTCAGAGCTCAACAGAAGTGCATCCCGTTTTGGAAAGTTCCCTGGTCTCCCCTGCCCTTCCTGAGCTCCCCCATCTCAGCTCTCAGCAGTCTGTGTGAATAG